ACTTGTAATGCTGCTTTCCAAGTATTGCTTTCATTCAGTTCTCCTTCTTACCTCCTTCCTCTTTCTGGTTTACTTTAGAATATCTTCCTAGAAATATTAATTCTGGATGGAAAACATATGCCTAGACATAGATCCTAAGGAAATCATGGGCAGAGGGGAAGAACCCTTTTGTACAACAATATCTATATCAACTTTTCATAGCAGCAACAAGCTGGGGGGAAATAGCTGCCCTTCAATTGGGGAATGGCTGAATAAATTGTAGTGTATGCATGTAATGTTATATTGTTGTGCCATAAAAATGACAAATATGTCAGACCAGGGGAGATAATAGAAGATACATATGAACTGATACAGAATGAAATGAGCAGAATCAGGAGAATTTATGCAATGACATTAACAATAATAAAAAGGAAAAATCTATGAAAAATCTCAGATCTTTGATCAAAACAGCAAACAGTAGTGACTTCCAAAGACTAATGATAAGACATTTTTCACTTCTTGGCAGAATTAATGTACATGGCATAAAACATGAAATATATATTCTCACCCCTTGCTAACATGTTGATGTGTTTTGCTAGCTATGTATATTTATTGCTAAGGAAGCCATCTTTTCAGGATAGTTGTGGTGGTTAGTGGGAAATAATAATAATATGCAATAAGAGCATCATTATGATCATTATTTATACACACATATCCACATATTTATCTATCTAGGTAAAATCTCAGGGTTATTTTTATTTGAATTTCTATTATTATTAGTGATTTTATAATTCTTCCAAATGGTTGCGAGATATTGTATGTGTGTATGTATGTGCACATATGCATGTATGTATATATGTGCATATAGCCTCTGAGTACTTCATGTATCAGGTCGTGTAGATCTTTCCATGTTTCTCTGCATTTATCATATTTGTCATTTCTTATAGCACAGCAATTTTCCATTATATTGAAATATATAATTTGCTTCTTTAAAAAGGCATAGACAATCAGGATGTGGTTATTAAGCACCTAATTTGTGGGTATTTCCTGTAATTTCAATTCTTTGCTATCATGGAGAGTGCTGCTATAACTGTTTTGGTGTATATGAAAACTTTCCTCTTATCAGTGACATTCTCGGGGTATAAGCCTACTAGTAGAATCTCTGCGCAAAGACATTTTAGTAACTATATTTGCATAATTCCAAACTGCTTTCCAAAATGTTTGTAATAACTTACAGCTCCACTACCAATGCACTAATGTGCTCATCCTCCCATGTCCCCTCCAACATTGACTATTCCCATCTTTGGTCTTCTTTGCCAATTTCCTGGATATGAGGTGAAATCTCAAGGTTATTTTTTTAAAATTTCTCTTATTATTAGTGATTTTCAGCATTCTTCTATATGATTGTTAATAAGTTGCAGTTCTTTTGAGAATTATTTATTCCTATCCTTTGCCCATTTACCTACTGGGGAATGGCTTTGGTTGTATGTACATTTTAGTTGTCTTAGTATATCTTGAATACCAAACTCTTATATGAGAAATTCTCCCATTTGACCACTTCCCCTCTTATGGTAGAGACATTATTTTTGGTTTGATGTCAGAAAAGATTTCCTAATACTAAAAGCTATATCAAAAAGTGCAATGACTGCCTCAGGAAGTGGTTGATCCCTTTTCATTAGAGTTTTTCAGTAAAGGCTAGATGACTATTGGTATGTTATAATGAGATTCTTTTCTGGTAGGGCTGGACTAGATGATGATGGGAGTACCTGCTAACTCTAAAGGTCTATTAATTCTTTGATTCATTAGCATAAATTTTCTTGCTTTGAGCTGAAGCCTTTCTCTCTGTAAGTTTTACCCATTTCTCCTAGTTTTGCACTCCAGGGACAAGTTGGGCAAGTCTAATCTCTCTTCTACATGATAACCCTTCAAAAAGACTTGGACTTGTCCTGTCCCCTGAGAGCATAGTGGGGTAGTAAGTAGAGAAATAGCCATGGAGTCAGGAATACCTGAATTCAAAGCTCATCTGGGACATATACTGGGTATGATCCTAGACAAGTCAATTAATTCTTAGAATTATAGGCAACTCTCAAAGACAGTAAGACAACAGCATCTCTTGTGACCTTTTCCAGTACTGACTGCTCATCTTCTCACACCCTGTGACAAATATGACTAGTAGGAGGATTTAGCCTACTACTTGGTCTCATTGCCATGTTCAGGCTCTTACTGAGTCACTGTCACTCAGAAACCACTTTTCTTTTATTATTTTATTTTTAATTTATGGAATAAAACAAGCATTTTCATAACATAGTATGATAAAAAAAATGAGTGCATGTGAAACTACAAATCCACTATGCACAGTTTGCTATTTCTTTCAAACATACAACAAAATTATCATGTAAATTTCTTTTTCTTCTTCTCTCCCCTCTTTTTGCCCTAGAGATGGCTACCATTACTATTAGATACAAATATATATGTGTGTGAGTAATATTATTCTATACACACTTCTATTTATCAGTTCTTTCTCTGGATGCAGTTAGCATCTTTCTTCATATGCCCTTTATAGTTAATTTGTGTATTTATTATAGACAAATTACTTACTCTATCAAAGTCTTTCTTAAAACAATATTGCTGTTACTGTGTCGTTCTCATTTTCCAGGCTCTCCAGATTTTCTCCACTTCTCTTTTAAAATTCAATCTATCCTGTCCAGATTCTTGTTGCTGCCACCTACAAACCTCCAGGTCACTGTCCATTCTCTCTAATAAGCTAAGTACCAGTCTTAAAATCTCCTCTACCCAAGTGCCTGCCCTCTTCCAACACCTGACCTTAGTCTCCAATCTATTTCAACGACCCACAGTAGTTTTCATAATTTACATCCTCACATTCCATATTCCCCCCTCAAGTGAATCTGCCCCAAGTGCAAGAATACTAGATATAACACAGATAAGTCTATAAGATTCTTAAGGGCAGTGATTATACTATTTTCCATAACTGTATCTTTGGTGGTTAGGAAAGTGTCTTTCACATACTATTGTTGCTCAGCTCTTTCAGATGCATCCAACTCTTTGTGATCCTACTGGGAAGCTTTCTTGGAAGAGATACTAGAGTAGTTTGACATTTCCTTCTCTAACTCATTTTATAGATGAGGAAACTGAGGCAAACAGGATTAAGTGACTTGCCCAGGGTCACACAGCTAGTAAGTGTCTGAGGCTGGATTTGAAGTCAGGAAGATAAGCCTTCCAGATTTCAGGCCTGGCACTCTATCCACTATGCCACCTATCTGCCCCTTTCACATATGGGATACTGAATAAGTGTTTATTAAGTTAAATTAGATTAAAGTAAGATATGGTAACATACAAGTCAATGGTCTTTCAAAACAACACAGCTGCATGATGGTGACCAAGGAAAGGGAGACTGAAAATACTTTCTCTTATGATCAAGGTGATGTCCAATTGTGACTTTAAAGGGCATATCTCCTGGTGCTCAGAGGATAGGTGGCAGACTATCAATGCAGAATAAGGCATATATTTGAAGACATGGCCAATATGTTAATTTCTTTTTGAGATTGATTTTGGTCACTTGTTACATGGAAGAGTTCCACTGAAGTAACAATGATAGAAAATGAAAATAAAAATATACATTTTTTTTAAAAAGCAAATATTTGTTTTAAAAAGAAAAAAATGCTACTTAATAGGTAGGTTCCTGAAACTTTCAAACATATGGATTCCCATGAAAGCTAACTTGGAAACGCTATTTGGGGATGTGAATATGTGTGTGGGGGAGAGTGACTTGGTTTTATTTTTCAAAAAAAAAAATACGAAGTTAGCTTCATATCAAGCAGTTTCACTGGCTTTTAGACAAGAGTTTTCTCCAATGGGATGATGGAATGTAATGGCAAAAAGTTCATAAATTGCTCCAGACATCCTGAAGCCATTTATATTTTCCCAGAGGCTGTGATAATGAATCCATCTGTAGACATAGACAATTGTTTTACCCCCAAGTGACATCAACATAGCAAGAAACAGACATGGAATCATGGTGTTGGAAGGGATTTCAAACACTCATCTGGTCCAGTCCCCTGCTATCAGTTAGGGCAACGTCTAAGTCACTCAGGTGATAACATTTTCTGATCAATGCAGTGCTGAATTTTGAGAACTTGCATCTTGCCAAATATCCTAAATTCATTTGCCTTTTTGAATTCTGACCTTTCATTAGTCCAGTTCCCAAACATCACATAATATGTTTTTCCTACTCCTCCATGTTCCATGCATTCTCCATTTTCCTAACACATACTTTAACAAAATAAACATGCAGATTACACAGATGGGTCACACATTATTTGTTATTTCCCCTCCAAAAAAAATCTACTCCATATTAATTCACTATGTGGCTTATAATCAAAGTGAGTAAGGATGTTAGTACATAATTAGTTGGAAACCAGAGTTGAATTCCATTAATTCATATATACAAGCATAGAATGTTAGGACTTAGAGTCAGAACCAAACTCGATACATGTACTGGAATCAATGAAACTAAAACCCAGGGTGCTAGAGGCTCTGGAGTATGGATAACATTTCAACCTCTTTATGAGACACTTCAGTTTTGAATCTTTCTAACGATTAGATAGTTCTTGACTGTGAGCCAAACAAAATATGTTTCTTTAAGCTCCACCCCAGTGATTTTAGTTTTGCTTTGGGGAGCAGCATTGTTTAGTACCTTTTCTACATGGTGACTTTTGTCATATACTCCCTAAGTTTCATTTTGTCTCCTTCATTATCCCAAAAATAACATTGTTTCATACCTTCAAACTTGCATTCCTTCCTCTGACCATTCTCAGATCTGGTCAGAATATGTGACCAGCATAGAAAAATCCCAAACTGGGAACCCCCTAGCCAAAACAGATATAACCCAGCTGTAGCATCTATTTTCCTATGGCCTCCCTGATCCATTTATCAGTTTAGTAATCCTTTTAAGCAAATGAAATTAGTTGGACACGAACTATTTTCCCCCCGTCTTTTAAATGTTTTATTGGAATAATTTTAAAAAATCACTATCATTTCCCAATGATTCTCTTCCTTTACCCTCCCCTCCCAAGGAATCCTCCCATACAACAAAAAAGTATAGTCAAGCAAAATAAATCATCACCCAGGTCATATGTGAAAATGTCTGCTTGTATTCCACATTTCACTTCTTCTACCTCTCTGCTGAGAGTCAGGAGACATGCACCCCACCCGTCCAGTCTTCAGAAGCCATGGTTGGTCACCGCATTTATCAGAATTCTGAAGCCTTTCAGTGTTGTTTATCTTTACTTTATTGTAGTCATCATGCAAACTGTTCTCCTGGTAGCTTGCTTTGTTCTGCACCAGTTCATACAAGTCCTCCCAAGCTTCTCTGGATATTTATCAATATTTATGGTGCAATAATATTCCATTAGCTTCATATACCACAATTTGTTTAGCCAGTCTCCAATGAATGGATACCCACTTTCTCTCACGATCTTTGCTACAAGAAGAAATGCTGTAGTAAATAATTACATGCGAAGGCTTGAATTCAAATCCAGCCTCAAACACACTTACTATCTATATGACCTTGGGCAAGTCATCTAACCTCCATTTGCCTCAATTTCCTCATCTGTAAAATGGGGAGAATAATAGCACCTACCTCTTATGATTGTTGTGAGGATCAAATGAGACAATAAATGTAAAGCACTTAGTATAGTGCCTCTCACATAGTAATCATTATATTAATATAGCTTTTATTTCTTGTTGTTCAGTCATTTTTTAGTCATGTCTAACCTTTTGTGACCTCATTTGGGGTTTTCTTGGCAAAGATATTGGAATGATTTGTCATCTCCTTCTCCCACTCATTTTATAGATGTGGAAACTAAGGCAAATAGGGTTAAGTGACTTGCCCAGGGTCACACAGCTAGTAAATGTCTGAGGCTGGATTTGAATTTAGAAAGATGAGCCCTCCAGACTTCAGGCCTGGCATTCTATCTACTGTGCCACCTAGCTATACTATTATTATTATTATTATTATTATTATTACATATATTTAAATATATGCAATATACCTAATATATGTACATTTATATTGTTATAATATATACATGCATATACATGTGTACATTATATTGTATGCTATGTGTATATTTATATGTAAATATATGCACATAAAATGTATGTTTACATGGGTGAGTATAGATTGCACATGCATGTACACATGTGAATATCTGACATGTATGGATATGGTGTGTTCCTATATACATGCATATAGATATATATTTGTATATGTATGTGCATGTATGTTGGTGAAATGGATAGAGAGCTGGCCTAAAGCCAGGACAACTTAAATTCAAGTCCTTTCTTTGCCATATACTGACAATGTGACCCTGAGCAAATCATTTTATCTCCCAGTGCTATAGATGGCTTTCTAACACTCTAAGACACAGAGAAGGCGCCTATCTGCATTGGTGGAGGAGTTTTTTTTTCATTTGGGAGTTCCTATAGTGATAACATCATGGAACTACTCCACGACCCCATGTCCTCAATATATTTTACTCCAAAAAAATACATTTGGTTTATGAGCACCTGGAAAGGGATCACTAAGAACTCTCATTGGTCATGACCTTTTTCCCTGTCTTTGGTCTCTCTGGATTATGTGGAATGATTTATTCTTGAAGACAAACCTACTGGATTTCCTAGTGTATTATTTCTGCTCTTCAGTTTGGACAGACAACAGGATTTTTCCATCATGGTGGGAGAGTCTTCCTTAGAGTCCTGAGGATGGCTGGCAGAGCTCTCTCTGAGACTAACTTGTTTGACCATGGACAAGTCCCATGACTCCCTTGATCCTGTTTCTTTACCTGTAAAGTCTGAATGGGATGAGTCATAGCTTCCTTTTCAGCACTTATTCTACTTAGCTGTGTTTCATTCTCTCTGGGAAGGGTAGTCAGGAGAGCTGAGATGTCTCTAGTTTGTTTTTTTTTCTCATTTTTCCATTGATCTGGAGCTTCTTCCTTGCTCTTCCCTTTGCTGGCTCCTTTCAGTTTCACTTCCTGGAGCAAAAGATACATTTTCTTAGTCCTTCTCTTCACCTTGCAGAAGACCAAAATTAGAAATGTTCAAAAGCCACCAGCAAGCTTTATTGCAAATAATAAAGAAAATCTTCTACTAATGTCCCTACTCTCTATATGTCAGCTGGCAAACTCATCAGCTAGAAATATCTCCTCCTTAGGTAGGAGAAGGAAAGGACTCTGAAAGTGGGGCTTCATTGAAAAAAAAATGTTCATTATTTTGTTTTGTTATGAAAAATATACATTGAGACCTGGAGCATTACAATACCCCATAAATGAGATCCAGACTAACATAGAAGAGGTCAACCCAATTTGGAAAAACCAAGAATGTCTATTATCCAGACTTTGGACAACCCATATGTATTTAGACAAACACTGTGGATAGAAAATGGGCTAGATCCAGGATTGAAGAGTCAAAGGAAAGCAGTCTGGATTGCCTTAGGGTAACTGCACAATGTTTTAATGACTCAAAATTTTTACCCTGAAACAATATCCCAGATTTTCAGTATTAATAGTCTCTCAGGGATGCTATATGGCTATGAGTCATGGAATATAACAGTCTATGAAGAATTAAGTTTCAGGTCACCCCTAGGACAATAGAGAGGCACAGAGTGTAAACAGGCTGCAGCATATTATCAATGAAAAATTGTGCAGAACTGGTTTTAAGAATATCATCAGAGAGAAGGGTGAGTAGAAAATGAGGCAGACTTATAATGAAAGCTAGGAAAAAAAGAGGCAAAGCCAAGATGGCAAAGTAAAAGCAGGAGCTCGCCTGAGCTGTCCTCTAAACCCCTCCAAATACCTTTAAATAATGGCTCCAAACAAATTCTAGAATAGCAGAACACAAAAAGACAGAGTAAAACAAATTTCCAGCCCAAGATAACTTGTAAGGTCGGCAGGAAAGGTTTGTTGTACCTGGGTGAGAGTGGAACACAGTCCAGCACAGCCCTGGTCCCAGCAAACCAGAAACAGGCCTTGGGGGTGACTGAATCATCAGTGACAGTAGCAGCAGGTGCTTCCAAAGCTCTTATCCCACCGACAGTAAGAGGGTCAAACAATTGGTGAGAAGGAGATTATAGAAGTCTTTTCGCTAGCCCTGAAGCAGGACTCTGTTCCTTTGCCCATATTTGGATCTGGGTTGAAGTTCTAGGTGGCAGTCCCAAGGCAAGGAGGAGCACTAGCATAGCAGAGCTTGTAGCCACAATGGAGGAGGGGGAACCCTCCTCACAGTTCTAGGGCAGAAAAGAGTGCTTGTGGTCACTCACAGGCCAGAGCACAGTCCAGGATAGTAAACACCTTTCTTTAGAGCATGCCACCTTGCTGAAAACTTACAGCTGTCTAGAGGTGAAAACAGCTGCACAAAACCCCTGAAGCTTGGCACAGTTCTCCCTTCACCCTTTAACAAAGGTTTAAACTTTAACAAAGAGTTAAAAGTCAAGTAATAGGCTGAGAAAATGAGTAAGCAACAGGAAAAAAAAAGTCTGACCACAGAAAGTTACTATGGTGACAAGGAAGATCAAAACACACACAGAAAAAAGATAACAAAGTCAAAGCTCCTACATCCAAAGCTTCAGTGAAAAATATGAATTGGTCTCAAGCCATGGAAGAGCTCAAAAAGAATTTTGAAAATCAAGTAAGAGAGGTAGAGGAAAAATTGGGAAGAGAAATGAGAGTGATGCGAGAAAATTGTAAAAAACAAGTTAACAACTTGGCGAAGGAGACAAAAACATACTGAAGAAAATAACATCTTAAAAAATACACTAGGTCAAATGGTAAAAAGAGGTCCAAAAAGTCAATGAGGACAAGAATGCCTTAAAAAGTAGAATTGGCCAAATGGAAAAAGGAGGTATAAAAGCTCACTGAAGAAAATAATTCCTTAAAAATTAGAATTGAACAAATGGAAACTAATGACTTTATAAGAAATCAAAAACAATAAAATAAAACCTAAAGAATGAAAAAATAGAAGACAATGTGTAATATCTCATTGGAAAAACAACTGACCTGGAAAATAGATCCAGGAGAGATAATTTGAAAATTCCTGGACTACCTGAAAGCCAGGATAAAAAAAAAAAGAGCCTAGACATCATCTTTCAAGAAATTATCAAGGAAAACTGCCCTAATATTCTAGAACCAAAGGGTAAAATAGACATTGAAAGAGATTTTCACCTCCTGAAAGAGATCCCCAAATGAAAACTCTCAGGAATATTATAACCAAATTCCAGAGCTCCCAGGTCAAGGAGCAAATACTGCAAGCAGCTAGAAAGAAACAATTCAAGGGCTATAAAACCATGCCTACGCTTTGACCTAGCAATACTACTATTAGGTCTGTATCCCAAAAGAGACAAAAAAAAAAAAGGAAAAGGGCCTAGATGTACAAAAATATTTATAGCAGCTCTTTTCTGGTGGCAAAAAATTGGAAATTGAAGGGATGCTCATCATTTGGGGAATGGCTGATTATGATGGAACACTATTGATGACCAGGATGCTCTCAGAAAAACCTAGAAAGACTTACATGAGTTGATACAAAGTGAAATGTGCTGTGTACAAAGTAATAGCAATATTGTAAGATGATCTGCTGAGAATGATTTCGCTATTCTCAACAGTACAATGATCCAAGATAACTCTAAAGGAGTTATGATGCAAAATGCTACCCATCCCCAGAGAAAGAACTGTTGGTATCTGAATACAGAATGAAGCATACTTTATTTTTTACTTTTTTTATTTTTCTTGAGGTTTTTTTTCTCTGTGTTTCTTTCACAACATTATTACTGATATGTTTCTCATGACTGTGTGTGCAACCTATATGAAATTGCTTGCTTTTTCAATGGGAAGGAGGTAGGAAGGGAGGAAGCAAGACAACTTGAAACTCAGAGTTTTAAAAATGAGTGTTTAAAATTGTTTTACATGTAACTGGGAAAAAATAAAATACTAAGTATTAGAAAAGAAAGCCAGGAATAAACAACTGTTGTCCATGCAATGTCCAGTGCTGTATAGGAAGGCTTCCTGCCTAATTAGAGAACTCCCTGTGGGATATTTGGTGGTGGTTACAGACAGGAGTCACATGAGGTGAGCATCTATGAATGAGTTGTGAGAAGTATTGGTGGATGAATTACCCAAAATGAAGACATCACAGCTCCACTCAAATAATGGACAAATATGATGCTCATGACCAGGTGAATCAATCTATTTTATTTACCAAAAATGAGTTTTTACTTTAGGCAAGTACGACCAAAACATTTTGGGAGAATGTAGAAATGATTCCTATATTAAGGGTGATGGTTTGGGAATAAGAAGATTTGACCAGACCTCTTCCAGGGTCCTTTTAAAATCCTAGGTTATATGATTCAATGGATAAATTCCTGACTCCCTTAAAAATGTGTGTCAGGAAGAAAGAAAGGGAAGTGGGATAAGAGCAAAGAATGATGATGGACCTACTTTGATCTATATGCTCTAGAAAATATTCTAAGGGTAAAAGACTATTTCCCCATCACTTGACAATAGCAGATTCAAGGATCCAAATGGTCCTAGATTCAAGTAAAAGATAAAAGTTCAACCCCACTAACAGAGTTCTCGTGGTCAAGACTGAACTGCCTCACCTACCTTGCCACTGGAAAATAACATTTCAAGGACCTTCTTACAAAGCACCCCTAGCAAAAGCCTTAAATCTGAAAGCCCATGCTACATAATCAGTGTTATTCCTTCCACAGCCTAGAAGGACTGAGAGATGTTTGAATGCATTTATGACTTGACTAGCTGCTCCTCTTGAGAAATGGACACCAAATGGACTGGATGCTACTTTTCTGAGATGAACAAGTGACTTTTGTAATCACTACTTCTGAAACCAAACTTTTTTTCTTGTAGCTCTGTTAAAATCAACTCAGTATTTCAACACCATATGTTTGCAAGGGAAACCAGAAGTTTATTGATATTTCTATCTCAACTAATAAGTCATTTTTTTTTTACTTAGGAGCTAGGTCTAGTTGTTGTGGTTTCTCTCTCTCTCTCTCTCTCTCTCTCTCTCTCTCTTTCTCTTCCCTCTCTCTCTCTCTCTCTCTCTCTCTCTCTCTCTCTCTCTCTCTCTCTCAATTAAAAGCCTGGAGCAGCTAGAAATGAGATGCAGTTGCTTTGTAACTCAGGCAATGTGTTTCCCTCCCAAATGCCACTTTCAAATGTTATGTCACCACCATGGCAGGAACTGGCTTGTCAGTCCTAAGATTTTCCCTGTAAGCATCTCTTTGTTTTATCTAGCAAGGTCGAGACCGAGGGACAGAGGAAGGCTATAATAACCTCTAATAGGCCAACCAATCTGTTGCTACATGATTCCAACGTACTTTTTCCCCCTTTGCAACATTCTTAGTGAAACTCTTCAAGGTATAATTACAATAATGTGCCTTTTGTGCCAAGTTTTATGAATCAAGTACTCAAACTAAACAAGTCAAGAAGAACTCCCATTTGGCACTGCTCAGCAAACACGATCTGCACAATTGCTTAAAAATAAGACAGGCTTTTTTTTGGGGAGGGGAAGGAGAACAGTTTTGTGAAAATATATTTTGTTTCACAGAGAGAAAAATGGAAGGAAAAAAAACCCAAATATTTGCAGAATGAGTATTTGTTACTATAAAAACTGTGCTGCACCTCAGTTATACCCAGTGTTTCAGGGTGAAACAATAAGCTCTTTGTGACATCTGAACATCTCACTTAGCACAAGGGCTTAAACCAAGTGAGCACAAAAGTAACTTGAACTCTCCCAGAACTTTGTGTTACAACATGGAATACTTGTACATATTGTATATCATCACATTATCTAAGTTCTTGGTTTTTAGAATATTCGAGTTAGAAAGGCCTGTAAGAAATCTAGTGTGGCCTCCATTTTATAGTTAAAGATCTTGAGCACCATAGGGGAGAATCAGCATGCCTAAATGGCAAGACCCCAAGCTTTTGACTCCCGGTCCTACGTCCTTTCTATTATACTTGGCAGCTAT